TTTACCGGGCAGTTCTGTTTGTGACGATATATATATATCGTCAAATAGAACTGCCCGGTAAACCGTAGGCAGAGAGGGAGAAGAGGACAACAAACGAGGGGCTGTATATATATATCGTCACAAACAGAACTGCCCGGTAAACCGTGGGCAGAGAGAGAGAAGAGGACAACAAACGAGGGGCTGTGACAAACTGTTTCGTCGGAGTTTCAGCGACTCATCATATATATATATTCTGTTTGTGACGATATCGGCCTACGTTTTTCCGGGCAGTTCTGTTTGTGACGATATATATATATCGTCACAAACAGAACTGCCCGGTAAACAATAGGCAGAGAGAGAGAAGAGGACAACAAACAAGGGGCTGTGACAAACTGTTATATATATACAGGGTTGCCGGCGTTCGGGACGGGCCGAACGCCCCAACCCGAACGCCCGAACGTTCGGGACCCCTCCGGAAGGCCTTCGGCCGTTCGGGCCGAACGCGGACCAAAAAAAAAAAAAAAAAAAACAACAAGTTTTCCAAAAATTCCGAAAAAAACAATATGTTATGGAGAAAAATAAACTAAACAACATTTGCCTGGGCACTGTATCCAAATTCTTTACCAAATTTGAATTAAAAATCAAATACAGAAAATAAACACTATGATAAAAATAAGAAAAAATAAAAAGAGAATTAAAATGAGTGAGTGTGCCAGCACCTTTTCGACACTGCCATCTTTGCCGATTTTTAATTATGTTTTGGCGTTGACAAATGCCCTGAAAATTTACAGATATGTATTTTACATAATCAATAACTCATTAAAAAAATTTCAAAAAATAGTAAAATGTTTTAGGCCCCGAAATAAAGTGAAAACAAAAAGTTAAAAGTGAAAAAAAAACAAAATAGTGAGTGGGCGAGCACGGTTTGACACCCCCATCTTTGACGATTTTTAATGTTTTTTTGGCTCAGCAGAATGGCTTCAAAATTTATAGGCGTGTAGGTTACATCATAGAGAACTCACAAAAAAAATTCAGAAAAAAAAACTTATGTTTAGGCCCCGAATGTTTTTTTGGCGTGGGCCGAACCTGGAGGTGTTCGGCCCTCGAAGGGGACCCCGAACGCCTGAACGTTCGGGAGCCAGCCCGGGGGCCCCCGAACGTTCGGTCAGGTAACCCTATATATATATATATATATATATATATATATATATATACAGTCAAACAGAGATGCCCTATAAACCATAGGCAGAGAGGGAGAAGAGGACAACAAACGAGAGGCTGTGGCAAACTGTTTCGTCGGAGTTTCACCGACTCATCAGGAGGCTGAACCCTCAACAGTCTGCAGAATCCCCTAACTAATTA